ACTCCGTTTTAGCTCAACTTTGAAATAAACAGAAGAAATGGGGCTAATGATGCCTTACCAACCATGATATCTATTTAGAATTACTTACTTGATGCTCATAAATTTAATCAGTTACCACATGTCATTTGTGAAACAGATTAAGAAACTTTGCTACTCTTTTCTATACCACTATCAGTATCTCTGCCAAATGATTCAATATTTTTTGCCTAATTACCATTCATTTGATGCATGTTTAATTTCTTCAAGAGATGTTTTTAAGTAGTAAGTATGGTTATTAGAAAATCTACATCAATCACTTTAGACAGGTGGAAATTACCTAGTGGGAAGAGAAACACCTTCAGTTGTAACTAAATAACATAGTATTTGTTGAATTTTCGGTTTCTTTCTGCAGAAAGTTGATCCTGCAAGAAGAATTCTTCTCACTTTACCAATATGTCAGGTCATAGATTAAAGATTAACATATGCACTCCTGTATCATGTCATGTATATCAATTATAAATAGACACTTCTGGAAAGACAGAAACAACTATATTTTACAAGGATAACAACTTAGATTCACAATTAAGGATCCTTTCTACCATCTGGTCCTTGGCCAAACCTCTTGGCAATGATCTTTCCTGGATTATCTGTACCCACTTACAGCTGGGTGGATAGAATTATGAGTGAATATGACTTATTCAAGGTCATCGGAATTTCATACACTGATTTAGATCGAAATCCACAGATGGCATTTGTTTGACGTAACCAAGCAAAGCTCTAACTGACTGTGCTTTAGGTGATCAGAAATCAACCTGTATCTCAGAAATTTTAGACGAACATTGGTGTTTGGTGAGAATACATAATGTGAAACATTGAATAAGTCTTATTCATTCAAGGATCTGTGTCAAGGAGAGATGGTCAAAGACCAGCTGGTAAAAAGGATGAGGGAAGTGATAAGGTATAAATTCAGAACTTAAATTGAATTAAATTAGTGTCTCTTGTTACTATGACTTGAAGCCAAAGTTGAAAGTGAAAGAAATATTTAGTAATCAAACAATCAGTATAGACATTTAGAAATACCAATTACCTCTCTTGGCACACTAGACTCTCTTGTCTATTTGTTTCATTAAGATTTTGGACAGATCTGTTGAAATTCCAGACAATTTTCTCAACATTATTGACAGTCAATTAAACTCATTGTATACTAAAGAGTCCACATGAAGGCTTTTAATGAAGTGGCTCTAATAGTTCTAATTTTTTTCAATTTATATTCTCCTAATTGATTTAAGTCACTGTATTCAATAGTTAGAGGGATTGTAAAAAGGTTTTCTAAAATTTTTATATGTGTAGCATCAATTTGCACCATTCCAATTTTCAATCAGACGTCTGGTTCCTGCAATTGCACTAAGACTAAGTGTTTGATGATGTCACTAATCACAAAGGGCCTTATGTCATCCTCTATCAAAATGCAACCATGGTTGACCACAGGAACCATTGCTCACCATGGATAACAATAGTCAAACCATGGTTGAAGTCTCAATATGTCACACCCATGGGAAACAGGTAGATTTGTTGGGTCAGCTAGACCTGTCCCACTATCATTAGTCTAACACACAAAGCAAATCACATTTTGGACTGATCTCAATAACTAAAGAATATTAATTAGGTAAAATGACCTCAGGTTATCTGACATCTGGTTCCTGGGTTGAAAAGATCTTTGGATGATATCAGAGCACCTTTATCAGCTAATCAGTCCAACTTGTGTACCTGAAACTAGTGGAATTACTAAAAGATATGTAAAGAGTCTGTAATCTGATTAGTGATACAAAAGATAAAGTGATAAGTATCTGTAATAGTACCAGACTACTAAAATACCTACCACTACACCAGGTGTACTAATAAATAACCAACAGCTGTACAGATATTATTGATTTAGTATTCAATATTGACCAGAAATACCTCCATAATACCCTATAAGTCATTATTCTATTATATCTCTGCCAATAACAATATTGCCTTTACAATTTCATTGATGGGTTCACTCATTCCATGAATGTTTTAAATGCATTATGATTTACAGATTGACAAACAGCTGCCAACCCAACTTGGCTTAGAGAATGAGTCTGCATGAGAACAAAAAATCTTGTTTGATGGTGGGGTGGGGGGTACTTCTCCAAGATGTAGTGGTAGTTAGTTCATTGAAAATGGAAAAATTGGTTCCTGTTAATTGATATGGCATCAAGAGGTTTCAATTTGCCATTTTTGACTCATAAATTTTGTCTAAAAGACCTCATCATTAAGAGACTGTTTTGGGTGGTTCCCTTGAGTGGTATTTTAATGCAATTTCTACTGTATCTGTATATTTGTGGAATGCTGTAAGATTTATATAGAAGAGGAAATGGACAAACCTATACTATGAAGAGTGAAATTATGTTTTTGCTTACTTAAATTATTCGTGCACTCAACCACATTTGAGTACTAAAAACCTGCTAATTATCTTCATTATATAATTTCTCGCACATGATCACACATGATCATTATGCACCTAGGTTTTTGCTGTATATTTGTGGGTAGGGGGGAAATGAACAAGTTTATCAAGCCCAACCTATGAAGTGTAGAATTGTGTTCTCGATTACATGAATTATTGGTATACTCAGCCATAATTATATAACCTTCATTATATAATGTCTAGAACATGATCATTATCTACATACTAGAAAATAGACTAACAATGACAACAAATTCTCACAGTTAAAAAAGGGCTCAATATATCAATTGTAGAGGGATATTGAATTACCACTGTTAAAATAGTGCTCAATACATCAATTGTAGAGTGATATCGAAATACCACTGTTAAAATAGTGCTCGATACATCAATTGTAGAGTGATAGAGAAATACCACTGTTAAAATAGTGCTCAGTACATCAATTGTAGAGCAATATAGAAATACCACTGTTAAAATAGTGCTCAATACATTAATTGTAGAGCAATATAGAAATACCACTGTTAAAATAGTGCTCAGTACATCAATTGTAGAGCAATATAGAAATACCACTGTTAAAATAGTGCTCAATACATCAATTGTAGAGTGATATAGAAATACTAAAACCACTGTTAAAATAGTGCTCAATACATCAATTGTAGAGTGATATAGAAATACTAAAACCACTGTTAAAATAGTGCTCAATACATCAATTGTAGAGTGATAGAGAAATACCACTGTTAATATAGTGCTCAGTACATCAATTGTAGAGTGATATCGAAATACTACTGTTAAAATAGTGCTCAATACATTAATTGTAGAGCAATCTAGATACACCACTATTAAAATAGTGCTCAATACATCAATTGTAGAGCAATATAGAAATACCACTGTTAAAATAGTGCTCAATACATCAATTGTAGAGCAATATAGAAATACTAAAACCACTGTTAAAATAGTGCTCAATACATCAATTGTAGAGCTATAATAGAAACAGTAAATTGTATATAATTTGTGTTAAAGTGGAATTTGTAAGAGCTATGTGAATTAACATACCAATGAGAAAATTGATGACAATTATTTCCACTACTCATGTTAAAACCGCTTTTTTACTCTATTTTTGTAAGGAAGTAATTCTATGGTGATTCAAAACATAAGAGGTACTTGAGTTTCAAGTATTTACTATCATCACTATAGCTAAATACTAGGCCTTTTAAATTGAATTTTGTTTGACTGTAATGTTTGTCTTTTAGAAGAAATTTTTCAACCAAATTCATGTACTGGTTTTGATACTTATTCAAGACAAGCTTGATTAACATTTTTAGACTTGGCATTTTTTTTCACATGGTCTTTCCAACAGTTTCTATGTACATATGGTGATGGTTTAAGGTTGATTTAAACTGTGGAACATATATTCTGTAAAAGTAAATAAGGCAAGGACAGGGTTTGTAACAAGATTGCTATCAAAATTTTCTTGAATTTTTTTGTAATCGCTTGAAAAACGCTCTTTTAAGTAATGAAAACAACCAAGGAAATTTTGGGGCAGAGATATGATTTACATCAATTTATACAAATCCTTTAGTTTCACTTAATTTCAGAATATCTTATGATGAAAGCCATGAGAGCTGTTCTAACACCTGATGGCACTTCTCTTTAGAGGAATCCACTACTAGACAACTTTTACTTCTGATTGTGCAATTCTTTGGTTGAGATTTTTGATTGACCAATTGTCTTCCTTTTATCCTCACATTTAAATCAAATGATAAATTTCGCTTGTCCTTTCAAACAAATCTTAAATGTTTCAGATATTTTATCATCATCAAGAGGACCATTGACCTTTTGATCTAAACTAAGATTTGAGGAAAAGAGAGTCCAGTTTATTTGATGAAATATTGTATAAAGTAAATAAACTTTGATAATAACTGTCCATTAAGATAAAGGTAGTTGACAAAGGAGTACCCATTTAGACTATATTTATTTTTTCTAGGAATCTAAGTGGTACTTGAGTTGTTACTAGTTTTGTTTAACTTTGTTAGAGTTTAGTCTCCTCTTTTTTTCATATTTTTTATTGAGTTTTAGTTTGACCAAACTGTACACATAGAAAAATGTTGTTTACTGAAAAAATATTTTCAAAAGCAACAAGATGAGCCTTTCTCCCATTGAACACAAACCTACAGGTTTTTGTTGACACAATGCAATTACAGCTTTTCTTTTCATGATCAAGAGTAGTTTATGTTTGATAAAAGGTCATTTGTTTGAATTATTGTCAATTTCAAAATACTGATTTCCTATCTGTGTCATTATAATGTGAATTTCTACTAATGTATAAGCCTGTAAAACAGCCAAGTGAGCACACTTTTCTTTTTACAAAGTGTTTTCTGCTTTCTGCATGTAAATCTTTCAATGAAGTTCACCATTAAAAGGATGAGTTCGCCACTTTGAAGGCCCAAATTTCGATGATGAACTGTGAACACTATTATTGATTGGCTTAGCTAAAAAATTTCAGTATTTGCGACTAAAGTATGGTCAGTCAAGAAAAATGGCGCAGCGTTCCTTATTAAGATATCATTATAGGTGCATAAATCTCATCTTAAAGAGGCATAATTTTGGTAGTTTTAGTGATAACAGCAGGTAATGAGTACAGATAATGACCAAGATAACACCTGTATTCAGCTATCTCACTGGACATACAGACAAAATAGCAGTTGTTTTATAATTTATTGGCCATTGACCAGCATATTCTTATCTTTTATGTTGAAGAGTTCTGATTTTGGTGAAATTAGTTTCACTACTCTAGAGGTGATCTCATTTCACTGGTCAATTGTTTTTATAGGTTGAGGATGGCTGCCTGGCTTTGCACTCCTCCCCTACCTCACAAAAAAAAAATGAAACAACCATATTTTACAAGGATGACAACTTAAGTTCACAGTTTAAGATCCTTTATACCAGCTGGTCCTTGGCCAAACCTATTGGTATTGACCTTTCCCAGATTATCCGTACCCATTTACAGCTGGGACGACTGGAATTATGAGTGAAGATGACTTATTCAAGGTCATCGGTCATTCACACTCGATTGGAACGTGGAGCCGCCATTTCTTCGACGTAAGCAAGCAAATGACGTCATGTAAAGAACCAACACTCTAACCAACTGTGCTATAGAACCTCTCAAATATTCAAAATCCTCTATATTTTGTTATATATCATTTTTACAGAATTGCCTGTTAGACCCCCAAGACAAATCTGTCCTCCATCTTAGAGAAACACCATTGCATAAAGGCGAGGGGTAATTTAGGCAGGGGTCAAATTATGAATTATCAAAGTAAATGATATTTGGATATAATATGAGCAGTCTTTTTGTGTTCTAACAGAATCATTTATCTCTGCTATTTTATCATAATGAAAAGATCTGTTAAAAAGACTATAAAAAGATTTGTTTATTTTTTAAACTAAATATAGCTGGCAATAAGATTTAAGATTGATTTAGTTCCTTTAACAATCAATATTACTATCAGGAGAGGTTTTTTAGCCTGAGGATAAATTGCTTTGACTAAACCTTCACTCAATCTGATAGTTGTGTTGTTAGAAGACTTTTTATATCACAGCTTTTTTCTGTTGGCTTCTTTGCATTCAAGAACAATTTGGATGCTTTTTTTTTTAGATAACTTCTGATTTAGTGAATTTGTTTAGTTTGCTCATAAGCCTATAGTCCAATTTCAGAAGCTATCGGCCCTGATAGGCATATGATGAGCTCTAGTTAACTTACATATCTTTGGTACATGAGCGCTGTGGAATACTCAAGAATATCTTTGAGTTATAGTGATTATAAAAAAGTGTTTTTTCTTAAAGATGGGTTTCCTTATTTTTCAGAGTCAAATTAAGAAATTTATTTGAAGAATTGGTGTTTCTAATGAATTATCATGTATTCTTAATCATATCATTATATTCTTATTTCATATAATTAAGAGTTTAACCAATCACAAATGTCCATGTATGTGCAGTCTGGTTAAACAAAAAAGTCTTTTTGACCTTTCTTGATCGGTTACTCATTTGGAATTCTGCTGGTAATTCTCTTCTAATTTAGCTGATTATGAATTAATTATGGACATGTGAGACAAACTGGTATTTTTCCTAGTCATTATAACACCTCTACTTTCTATTCATATAAGTATTAGCATTTTCATTTTCATAAATGAAAATAAGGGAACCCATCTTTAAAGTTTTAGATCCTCTTCAGACATTTTAAGTTAGCATAAATATTTGATAATTTTTGCTATTCACTAAAATATTTGAAGCCCCTTACAGTACACATCGGGTTATCCATTGAAAAATAAAGAAATGTGAACCAAGGTGCCTGACCCTATCTGATTGTCCTCCATTAATTCAAAGAATTCATTAGACAGCTTTTCATACCATCAGAATATTTATAGAATTCTATCAGACTGTAAGATTGTTGATGGGTTTTTTATTGCATACAGTTTTTATCTATTGAATAATATGACACAGAAGTAAAGGGAAAATTACATATTGGGATTATATTATATTGATCTTCTAGCTAAACCATTTTCACAAATAACACTAGACCGTATTCATTGTAATAACCTTGTCAAATATCACTAGACCATATTCATTGTAATAACCATGTCAAATATCACTAGATCATATTCATTGTAATAACCATGTCAAATATCACTAGATCATATTCATTGTAATAACCATGTCAAATATCACTAGACCATATTCATTGTAATAACCATGTCAAATATCACTAGACCATATTCATTGTAATAACCATGTCAAATATCACTAGATCATATTCATTGTAATAACCATGTCAAATATCACAAGACCTTCTTCACAAATAACACTAGATCATCTTCACTGTAATAACCATGTCAAATAACACTAGACCATTGTCAAATAACACTAGACTGTCTCCACTGTAATAACCATGTCAAATAACACTAGAACATCTTCACCATATATAACACAAGAGCATCTTCACTGTAAATAACACTAGACTGTCTTCACTGTAATTAACACTAGAACATCTTCACTGTAAATAACGCTAGCCCATCTTCTTCACTGTGAATAACACTAGAACATCTTCACTGTGAATAACAGTAGACTGTCTTCACTGTAATTAACACTACTAGCCCATCATCTTCACTGTAAATAACACTAGAACATCTTCAGTGTCAAGAACACTAGACTGTCTTCACCTTAAATAACACTAGACCAGCTTCATTGTAATAACCATGTCAACACTGCTCAGACCTTTTTAAGCATGCATGATCATCTATATTTGTGCACATCATCAAGCTATTTGGGCACAAGGATCTTTGCTGAACAAGATACAACAGTATCCAATGATGCTTAGTTTTGAACAAAACCAGAATTATCAATAAATTACTAGTATATATCTGGAAGTTGAAGATTCACATCTAGTAAGCTCTTTCAGTCAATGTGAACATTGCCTTAGTTACTGTTATTTATCATGATTATTGTTTACCACTAGTCCAGACAGACAAATTAAATACTTGTCTCAATATATCTTATAGTTTGCTCACATTAGTAGTTCCTGGCAATTGAACAATAACACCAATTCTCTGTTATTGATCATTTCTTTTATTAAATATCAAATATTGGTACCAGAAGTTCCATCCTTTCAACAGAGCATGATTCCAGACAAACTGCTGAATAAGCTTGAATCTTCCAATATCAGCAAAAATATGTAAATAACTGAGTGACAGATAATAAAATATCATAATGCAGTCATCTCCCAGATCAACATATGGTATTAACATTGTCATACATCTTCTCAAAACTTCCTGGTTGTCCCAGACTATTCTATAACACAGTCAATACATGCATTACATTTAAACAACACTCACTACCAATTAAGCTAAAACTGTCCAAAAGTGTCTAAAACTTATTTGTGAAGGGATAATTACGGAAAAAGACGATTCTCAAAACTTTGGCAGCCTACTGGGAATCTCTGTATTTGTGCGTTTAAGTACCATATGTTTCTGTGTATAATGCACAGTTTTTTTTACTCCAAAATGGGCTCCTTACAGAAGGGATGAGCACTATACACAGTGAAATAAATTTTGAGTTTTTTCCCTGTGAAAATACCGTGAATCGATGTTGAGGATCCGCCAGTTTGTCTTCCTTCATTGCCATGTTGTTATGTTTATAGTAGTTATAATAACTCATTAGACTTTAATGAATTTTGTATTAATATATTTGAAATTAACTAGAATAGGTGTGTAAATGTGGTACTTTTATTGAAATGCAGTGTAAATTTTTGGTCTTAACAATTGTTGAAACCAAATAGAAATTGCTATATCATCTGCTTCTTCTGGGATTCAAATATTCAGAAAGGAAACAGCAAATAGTGCTGCAAATAGAGGTTAAATATATTCCACTAGCTTGGAAAAAAACCCTTCTTTTATCTCTTTGATATCTTATTAAAAACTAAAATTCAGTGATGTCAATTTAGTGCAGAAACCAGGATCTAAACCTCAACCTCCCCACTACTGTTTCATATTACATGTATATAATATTCATGTTACAAAAGGATAGGCTTCTGTGTTTTTAGATAAAAAATATTAATTGATGCAAGCCCTCAATAAATATAGTTTGTAATAGGATGGGCTATCAAAGAGACTTAGATAATACCACAATGTGAGGAAGACAATCTAAACTGTTTTCTATATTGAGCTGAAAGTAAACACTTGTAAGATATCTGAGATAATGCACTCTTAAAACCATAATAATGCATTGTCTGCATGTTTCTCATTAATTGTCAATCATTAAAGTCACTAAATATCAGATTTTTTGTTGAATGAGACTTGCAATGTGGAATAATTGACAATTTAAGTTCCTAATATATTACGTATAATTTAGCTACAGATTGTATTGAAAGGCCATGGTTGGCCATTATTAGGGATTGATTTGGGTATTAAATATTTGTAAATAGTCTTCAAGAGTACTAGAAATGAACAATAGTCGCATAATTCCCTCAAACTCAAACTAAGAAATTCACTTTCTATTTCTATAAATGGCAGAGTCTAAAGAAGAGACGATTTGTCATTTTAACATTCAAACACAGATAACTCTGGACACACATGAATTTGAAGGCTCAAATTTTGACTATTACTAATCAGCTAAGCTAAAAAATTCCAAGGCTAAGGTGGGATTGGTCAAACATGTTGAATTTGTCCCTTTAATGACTGATCATTTCAAATTTTAAAATGTAGGTATTTTAGTATGAGGAAAAATATCAAGGGATACACGGAAGAGGAAAATATAATTGACCACTTATCATAACGGCAAATAATTTTTGACATTTAAATATTGCATAAATTGCTTTAAATCTTACAATGATGTGTACAACAAACTCTTCACCAGTTAAGTGTATTCCAACAAATTAGTTGTTTTTCAATGCCATTATGTAAAGATTTTCTTTTATTTTTTTAATCGTCTGCCTTTATTTTGATAAATTCTTAGTCTGTTTGCTCAAGTTTTTCTGTGTTCAACATCAATATTAGACATAAAATCCCACATCATGTATTAAACCTTTAAAATCAATGATTTTTATGTGTTCCTGTGTTTAGAGTATGATTATATAGCACCATTTATTATTATTTTTGATAGTTTCTGATGTTGATATATTTTATGCAGTCGACTTTTGATATTGATAGGATTTTTGAGAATGACTTTAGATATTGATACATTTATTGAGATACGACTATTGATATTAGATACAACTTTTGTGATACAACTATTGGTATTGATACAACTATTGTTATTAATACAACTATTGGTATTGATACAACTATTGTTATTAATACGACTATTGATATTAGATACAACTTTTGTGATACAACTATTGGTATTGATACAACTATTGTTATTAATGCAACTATTGATATTGATACAACTTTTGAGATACAACTTTTGAAATTGATAATGACTACTGATATTGATATGACTATTGAGATACGACTTTTGATATTGATACAATTTTTGATATTGATAAGGAAACGAGAAGTCATGTTTGCACACTGTCCCATTTGATGATTTGAATATTTATTTTTTCTTGAGGTATCTTCTTCATGTTTTTTTCATTGATCCTAAGATACTAAAAGCAATATTGATATTGATTTTTATTTAAAAACTTAGTGCATGTGTTATTTTACTGAAAGTTAGGTGCTCTTACAAAATTGATGGTCAAATGGAAAAAAAGAAAAGACACTCCAATCTTATAAATACAATTTTTTTTCCATTCTAAAATTTGAAAGAACATTATATTGGATACTGCATGTGTATGTGTTTTATGTATTAAGATATACCATTTGCATACATTTTCATGATATTTTCTTTACTTCTTTTTGACACATTCATTCAATCAATCAATCAATCAATCAATCAATTAATCAATCAATTGTTATTCATTCATTCATTTGTCATTCATTCATTCAAAAAATCTGTTAAAAAAGAAATCATGCATTTTATTGGAAATTTTTACGACTGGCAAATGAGGGTCATGTTTTTTTATTTGTCTGGTATTGTCTACTTGCAGGAATATGGATTATGTAGAAGTAGTCTAACGGCGCTAGCTGTGAAATATGCCGAGGAATTAAAGACCCATTTTGAAGATGTATTAGACCGTTTAGAAGATTTATGGAGATTAGCTAGAGAATTGGATAGCTATACACTGGTAAATTGATTAGATTTTTATTTACCATTTTATTTACCTCTTTCTACTTGTATTTATAAAGTAGACCATTTCAATATAATGAGTGGTATTGAATTGCAAAAAATATCAAGAATTTTAAGCTACTCTGTCTGGGGGTTATATATATATATATCAACACATAGCTGTGATTCAGCACAGGGGCAATTCTACAGCTAAGGGGCAATACTATTTTAATCTGAAAGTTGCTAGTTTCTTAGTTTTCACAGATGTCAACTTTAAGCGATTGTAAAGACGTCTGTGATTCCTGCAATTCGTCTAAAAGTAAGGGTTAAATAAATACGAAGGGCCTTAAGTTATAAAAGCATATTTTGCGATTAGTGCAGACGTCATCAAACACAAATTTTTGTGTTAGGTGGTGAAGAGAACACAATTTTGTAGAATTGCAGGAACCACAGACAGACAAATTAGAATGGTGCAAATTGATCAGTGTTTTTACAATTCCTTTAAATTAATTTCATTATTTTGGGAATTTTCTGTTATTTCAAAGGTGCAGGTATTTTAGATTTATTTATCTCTATTTTTGGAACTTTTGGAGTTTTTGGTTAAATTTTTTAAGATGGACAGATTATGTAAGTAGGCCCTCAAGTTTCACAGGTATTGAAAATTTCCTTGAAACAAATCTTAGTTTTTCTGAGTCTTGGATTACATCACAAGCTGTTGCAGCTTAAACCACTAGAGGGTCACTGAGTTAGTTACTTTTTATAAAGGAGTGGATGAAAAATGTGTTATAAGAACTGGTAATCATTAAGGACTTAGACAGGATTGAAAGTATATTTTATAGTGAAATAAACCATATGATAACTATTAATCACATTGACAGAAGACATTACACAGGTCAACTAGTTTATATTACATCTAACTATAATGTCACACAGTTTAACTTTCTTTATATTTCTTACTTATAAAATACATTGTTGTTTCATTCAGTCCAACTGTAAATCGGTATGGAATGAACAGGGGAAAGTGCCAACAAGAGATTTGGCAATGGACCATGGTAGAAAGGATCCTTAGTGAACCTAAGTTGTTATCCCTCTAAAATATGGTGGTTTCTGTCTTTATTTTTCTTAAGGCATTCAGATCATATTCATGTATTTGCAAAATTTCTAAATGTTTTGATGAGTTTTCAGATCAACTTTAAGCCCAATGTTTACTCATGATATATGCATCTGTAGCCCTCCATAGAAGTAAAATTTGACATTCTATTCTGCTGTGATTAAATCAAAATAAAATTTGGACTGTCATCACTTTCAGGACGTTTTTCGCTTGCCAATAATACAGGTTGAGATGTCAATGGCATATAAGAATGCTGGTATGAGCCTGCAATAAGCAACCTTCAAGCTTACTGACTATGATAAGCTCTATAAGCTGGTAAAGCACATAGTCCGATGCCTATATTTTAGAATCCTTGCACCTGCAAATGAAGCCATATTACTGTTATACAATTATCTAGACTCGAGAATGATAAGAAAATGGAAAAAGAAACTTTGTCATTTGAAATAAAACTGGCAATGAGAAAGAATGAATTAATTGAACCAGGTGGCTGGAAGATAAAAAAATATACATCTTTCTTAGACTTATCTATATACCAGTCTCTTATCTAATATAACAGATACACTCTTCATTGACAAAATTATCCCATAAATGAAGTTCCTTTTCAGTATCTAGATTTGGGTTTCGTTTTGCGGTTTGGATCGTTAGTACTGGGTTTATTTATTTGTACAAATCAACGCAATTTCTAATTTAGACCAATATTCATTATAAGTCCGAAGTAAATTATTGAACCCCTAGCTTACTTTCTGCTCTGCCCCTTTACAAAAGAAGCAGGCAAAGTGCTCTCTCAGGAGGCTTAGAGGTTATAAGAGTTGAAAGCTGATACTGGGCAGATCTTTAGAAGCATTGACCAAGACATCAGAGGAGGATACAAGCCACTGGTTTTACTCCTGACTGAGCTTTATTACTGCTACTACATGTATCTGTTCACATGGTCATGTTATGAAAAATGTTGAGTCTTTTTCTATTTATAAATGCATAGTCTAATTAAAATTAAACCAAATTCCAGTGAATTCAGGTTCTGATGCTTATCGTAATACACCTTTTGTATGCGTCAAAAAATCCCAGCGTCGGACAGAAATTTGATTGACTGACAGTTTCATCAAACTGACAAATGTTCAAGCAGCCAGTCTTTAGACCCTAACTGAAGTGGCTAAATCAAAAATAAAACTAATAAAAAAACGGAATGGAATGTTGGTTATTAAAGGGAGCTTTTTCAATAATTTTTTGGAAAAAAAAATTTTTAAATTTCTGAGTTGAATAATCCATCTTATTCAAAAGTGAAACAGATATTCTTGATCTTTTAATATCACATTTATTTCATATTATTTCAATACTTGATTAAAACTTCAAAATGGTAATGATATCTCATGTTTCATTATCATAATAATACTTAATTAAGGCGGGAAAATAATTACACTTTAAATTACATTAGTGGCATTAATTACAGTATTACAATAGAGAGTTGACAAGTTGGTGACCTTAATGTAATTTAGTTACAGGCAAGGTCTTCTAGTCAATAGAAGATTTGGATAGAGGTCAAGTTAAAAGGTCAACTATGATCAGTAGAGTTAATTTAATACCTGTATCTCTCACCTGTCTGTCAAACTGGTAAGAGATCATTTTAAAGAGACATGTCCATTGATGATAAATTTGGTATATAAGACTACCTTCAAAATTTATTCTTTCTCTTATATTGTGATGTTGAGTCATAAACTTAGTTAGCTCTGATATTCTTATAAACTTTTGAAGGCGATTCTGTAATATATGCAGTCTATTTTGTTTTATTTGTGTTATTTAAAGGGACAGGTGCACCATTTTGGCGGGTTGATTTGAGTCTTGAATATATGAAACAGTCTTCATATTAAGCACTGGAAATGTACGAAAATCACATAATTCCTTCAAAAATATCTCAAAATTCCTTCAAAAATGTCTCATAATTTCTATTTCTATAAATGTCCTTTCTATATGGTATGGCAGTGTTTCAAGAAAAGACGACTCGTCTTTTTAACTTTCAAACACAGATTATTCTGGACACACATGGATTTTGAAGGCTCAAACTTCGACGGTGAGCTGTGAACTGATTGTCTAAGCTAAAAAATTCTGGTGTCTGAGACTAGGATATGATTGGTCAAAGAAATGCCACATCTGTCCCTTTAAAGTAATGTACATGTATCTGATAGAGTACCCAATATGCTTATGTGGTGACTGTTCTAGTGTCTGTACTGTGTATCAGTCACAGCACATTATATGTGCATGAGCTCCAAATTGTGTCAAATCAAGTGTAAAACAAAAGACCAATTAACTTTTCAGTATTAGTGGTTCCTATCTTTAACTATTTTTTATTCTGGCCATTCTTTATTATCTTGATTATTTTAACTTTAAAGTTTTTCCAGTCACTTTCTGAGATTATGTACCTTTAAATTCCCTTTCACTTCTCACCTGGTCAGCAAACAAGATTTGCTCATTTAAACTACAGTATTGACCGTTGCCCAGTATGACGCAGATAGCCTATTCATGATTGTATTACTGTTTGACAAGGCTACCCACTGTCACCCTATCTATTGATGTTATTGTCTGACTGGACTATAATCATGTGACTACCTGATGCTCAGGACGTCTGTTTTCCACCTTAAATCAATCAGTCCTGTCACGCCCGCAGACTCTTCTTTATTAAAGATAACTAAAGACGAAAATTATATTTAACCTCCATGAAAGGAGAGCGTGGTTAGTAAACAATTGGGAAACCCAACGGAAGTGATGTGCCTTTATTAAAAAGTTAAGTGGTATTGATCAGGATACTTTGCTATGATTGTTTGCTACATTTATGTCCTTATCAATACAGGTCACATGCACTTTTTTCAATTGATCTTTTGTCCTGATAAACTCCCTAGGGGCATTGGAGATAAAATTATGAATATTTTTATGACCTCATTAGAAATTTCTTTTCCATATGGTTACATTATTTTATGAACATAATCTTTGATGGTTTTTCCTTTTGATGCTTGTGAATATATCAAGATCATTCCTCATTTGTAATGCAATGACCCCTTAAATCCTCCATTGGAACTCCACTAAAAAAAACATTACATGATTATTTTCTTTAACAAAGTCACAAGAGTATGTATGGTAAGGAAAGAGTTGTCATGATATAGAATATTTGTGTAATTAATTTGCTTAGCTTAACCCATATTCCAAACATACTGTCCTGATGACGAAATTATATCTAAAACAAGTATCACTTTATTCATGCCTCAATTTTGAGACAATGAAAGCAATGTTCATCACACAAATTACGTCATCCATTAAGAAGATGGCGATGTCATATGAATGAATAGCCAATTTGACATCATTAGACACTCGCTCAACAGCAAGAAAACGGGCTTAAAACTGCCCTTTCTCGGAAATGTGTGAAGGTAAAATTCATCTGAAAGTATCATTAAATAGCTTCTTCAATTCCAAATTTAATGATGTCAAATATGATGGAGAAGGAGGCATTAAAGACGTCAAGGTGGCGATTTCATGCAGTGACATAACATTATCTTTCCATGGACTCGTTCTGGATTCAATATGGCCTAGGTGTGAATAAAGTCTATAGCCTGATATGTCTTGTTAATTGTAGCTGATGGTAATAACTAAGAGATTCAAGGATGTTGTGCTGAAATTCTCACACAATAAGGATTCAAAACCTTAGAAATTGGTTTTCTTGGATGTAAATGTATATGAAACAGTTTATTGTATGGATTTAATTTTATATTACAGCCTGTAAATCACAGTCCTATGCATGGTGTTTATGGTTCATCTGTAGTCTATGGTTTTTCAGCTAGAAATGTTCCTCCTCCTTTACCTTCAATACCTCCTGTAAGTACTATTTCATGTTACCTTGTAATAAGTATTGCATTTTCCCCATTTCATATACATGAAAGTAGCAAGCTGTCATTAAACGCAGTCAGCAGGAATTTATGAAGCCATTCAAAAATGTTGACAAATTTTGACATTTCAAAATAATTCTATTACATAATATCTCTGAGCATAATGCACATTTTATGATTAATTTCCCTCCCTTCTAAATCTCAATTATTTGAATAAGTGAACATATATACAATCTTCAGAAAGTGATTCATTTCACAGTATAATTATGAATATTATATTTCACACCCTTATTTACTGTAAATTTCTGTAATGGATGGTAATATGGCATATTTTTATGAAATATATTGTATATTTTTTGTCTATTTCAGCCTAATTCTAGTCATGTTGAGAGGTGTACAGATTTACAATGTCATTTACAGTCAGGACATAGGTAAGTCAGTTTTTATCATAGAATGTGAAATGTAGCTTTGGTCTATGCTGAAACATAGCATCATAGATGGTGACATGTAGCATCACAGATGGTGAAACGTAGCATTACAGATGGTGAAACGTAGCATCATAGATGGTGAAACGTAGCATTACAGATGGTGAAACGTAGCATTACAGATAGTGAAATGTAGCATCTGATGGTGAATTGTAGCATCACAGATGGTGAAACATAGCATCACAGATGGTGAAATGTAGCATTACAGATGGTGAAACGTAGCATCATAGATGGTGAAATGTAGAATTGGTCTGTGCTGAAATGTAGCATCTGTTTATGCGGAAATGTAGCATCTGTTAATGCTAAAGTGTAGGATTTGTTTATGCTGAAATGCAGCATTGGTATTTTCTGAAATTATGTAGAGTTGGTCTATGCTGAAATGATGTAGCATTGTCTTAGCTGAAATTATGTTGAATTGGTCTATGCTGAAATGTTGCATTGATATAAGATGAAATTTAGAATTTGTCTATACTGAAATGTAGCATTGGTCTATACTGAAATGCAGATGTAGCATTGGTCTATGATGAAATGTAGGATTGCAGGTCTATGCTGAAATGTAGCATTGATGTAGCATAGGTGTAAGCTGAAATGATGTAGCATTGGT